AAGCCATGTGACCTATACTTTTGGGTGTAACGTAAAACCCAGACAGACAAACAAACAAACATTATTTTATCAACTTAGCTTATGTTCTTTTCAATATTGCTCAGCGGACAAAACTACTGCAAAATCATAGTGTTGCGATATCTTTTGATGATTATTACGTTTATATTTTATCATAATTATTTATATGATATAAAACGTAAATTTCTAGGAAAAATCGATGACCTGCTATAAGTTGAACAACATATTTACAATATTGGTTATGTCAAAATGACATTGTTTCTATTTCAAAGTGTGTGGTCTTAGCTCTCAGATTGCATTTAGTTTATAAAATTGATTATTGTATAATTGTATCATAGTTTGGGGACTTCTCTGTTGAAAATGTATCAGAGTTAAATCATATACACATACATTCACAGTGCGTGAACTGGAGTGAAGGTATAAGTTACCCGCACTCCAGACCATGCATGCCCATTGATTTGCTTATTTTTGCTGGGGTTTACATATTTTGACGGCAGAGAAAGGGAAAGCGACAGAAATATCATATTCAGATGGTCGTGCATAGGTTACTTTTTCTGGGGTTTCATATTGTGACCACAAGGAGCGTGTTGTTATATTTGACTATGATACAAAAGAGAAAGGACATCAAAACACCCGGCAATCTGATTAATTCTCGGAGGCCTCGCATCCTCCTACAAATCATATAGCCTCATATGATTCGATGATTCACTTTGTTAAATAGGCTAGCTATTAATTAGTCTAGTAAATCGGCTGTTTATAACATAATTTCTGACACTAAATTGGTTAGTGCTCTTAAGTAAGCATTTTCCAAAGTAGGTTTGTCGAATGGCTTCTTAAACATAAAAAAAGATTTGTGTTTTTGTTTTATTGATTGATTGACTGATTGATTGATTGATTGATTGATTGTTTGTTTGTCTGTTTTTTATTTATTTATTTATTATTTGTTTGTTTGTTTGTTTGCTTTCATGGAACTATTGTATACGTAAAATGTGGTATCCTGATTTTGTTTCTTACAAACATAAATATGATGTATTGTAGATGATGTACTTTGTACAAATCTTAATAGAATGTCTGTTCTGTTCTGTTTTGTTCATAAAAGATCCACCACTAAGGCAAATGCCTTAAATATAAGCCGAAAACGATAACGTTTACATCATTCGGTCATACCATTATGATAAAATGAGTTGTGCAAGTTATTTTTACATTTTGCATTTTATTTGAATACTGAATAATCAAAGTTGGCACGTGAACGGTAAAGGGACTCCACTGAGGTGTTTTGACGGGGCTGGAAATAATATTTCCGCCATTAATGATCCATTTGATGTAGGTGTAGACCTTTTTACTTATATTACAATAAGAATAGCATAAAAAATACTTTTTTTCTAATTTATTTCTGATTATATTTCTTACCTTGTCTTTTGCAAATCTTTCTATTTTGAGCACCCCAGCTTATCTTTTTTAGAAATTTTATGTTTTTAGGCTTTTTGACCTCAGCGGAGTTCCTTTACTCCGAGTAGCGTATAGTGTTAACCCATTGCTTCATGAGCATTTTGTGAAAAATGGCTGTTTTCATTGAAAAGTCTCCCGTTACAAGTTCAAATTGCTATAATACTATAAAAACTGCTTAAACACTAATCAAACTTGGCACAAATGTTGACTGGACCATTGCCCTTGCAATAACATGCTCAGGCTTAAATTTTCTGTTACCATGGCAACGAGGGGACATCTCAAAATTGCCAAAAATCACTATTTTGAGTTGATTTTTTCCATTATAATTGATTTCAAAGTGCTGCAACTTCTCAATGGATTGAGATAGAGTCAAATGCTTTTCAGCGTTGGTTACACGTTACCTTATGATCAATCTGGGGTCATTTATAGCCTCTCACAAGTCCAAAATTTTCTTGGCGATGAGGGGGACTCCGCCCCCTTCAAACCCCCCAAACAGAAGGGGGCACATCCCCCTTCTGGCAACCCCCTGATGTATCTTTTGGTTGGGGGGCCGCGCCGAAAAAGTGGTCACTTTTTTTTAACAACATTTCTCAAACAAAAACAAGTGTTAAGGGCCTAAATAATGCATTTTTTCACCATTTGAGACAACAAAAAGGGGGGGGGGGTGAAAAAGGCGTTAAAAGGCGTGTATATGAAGTAATGGGTTAACAGAAAATGATGAAAAATACTTGAAATTACTCTAAAACGCGTTTTTCCATGTTTAAACATGGCCTGTCATATAAATTTGAAGAAAAATTGTTGTTTTGTAGATTTTTTGATTTTTTTCATTAACCCATTGCTTCATGAGCATTTTGTGAAAAATGGCTGTTTTCATTGAAAAGTCTCCCGTTACAAGTTCAAATTGCTATAATACTATAAAAACTGCTTAAACACTAATCAAACTTGGCACAAATGTTGACTGGACCATTGCCCTTGCAACAACATGCTCAGGCTTAAATTTTCTGTTACCATGGCAACGAGGGGACATCTCAAAATTGCCAAAAATCACTATTTTGAGTTGATTTTTTCCATTATAATTGATTTCAAAGTGCTGCAACTTCTCAATGGATTGAGATAGAGTCAAATGCTTTTCAGCGTTGGTTACACGTTACCTTATGATCAATCTGGGGTCATTTATAGCCTCTCACAAGTCCAAAATTTTCTTGGTGATGAGGGGAACTCCGCCCCCCTTCAAACCCCCCAAACAGAAGGGGGCACATCCCCCTTCTGGCAACCCCCTGATGTATCTTTTGGTTGGGGGGCGCGCCGAAAAAGTGGTCACTTTTTTTAACAACATTTCTCAAACAAAAACAAGTGTTAAGGGCCTAAATAATGCATTTTTTCACCATTTGAGACAACAAAAAAGGGGGGGGGGTGAAAAAGGCGTTAAAAGGCGTGTATATGAAGTAATGGGTTAACAGAAAATGATGAAAATACTTGAAATTACTCTAAAACGCGTTTTTCCATGTTTAAACATGGCCTGTCATATAAATTTGAAGAAAAATTGTTGTTTTGTAGATTTTTTGATTTTTTTCATTAACCCATTGCTTCATGAGCATTTTGTGAAAAATGGCTGTTTTCATTGAAAAGTCTCCCGTTACAAGTTCAAATTGCTATAATACTATAAAAACTGCTTAAACACTAATCAAACTTGGCACAAATGTTGACTGGACCATTGCCCTTGCAATAACATGCTCAGGCTTAAATTTTCTGTTACCATGGCAACGAGGGGACATCTCAAAATTGCCAAAAATCACTATTTTGAGTTGATTTTTTCCATTATAATTGATTTCAAAGTGCTGCAACTTCTCAATGGATTGAGATAGAGTCAAATGCTTTTCAGCGTTGGTTACACGTTACCTTATGATCAATCTGGGGTCATTTATAGCCTCTCACAAGTCCAAAATTTTCTTTTTCTTTTGGTTGGGGGCCGCGCCGAAAAAGTGGTCACTTTTTTTAACAACATTTCTCAAACAAAAACAAGTGTTAAGGGCCTAAATAATGCATTTTTTCACCATTTGAGACAACAAAAAGGGGGGGGGGGTGAAAAAGGCGTTAAAAGGCGTGTATATGAAGTAATGGGTTAAGAGGGCTCATGTTATGAAAGTGGTTTTTCGAGATTGTGTATATTATTTGAGTATGGTTTTAATTTCGGAATAAATATAGTTTAATAGTTTCACTTTTCTCTTTTATAACTTGCAATCTATTCATTTAATATTTTTTGCACAATTTTAAGTTAAACTTATAACCGTCAAGCAAAACTTTATGTATTTTAACATTCATTGAACAGATTTAATAACATCAAATCAACCAGGTTTGTGCAATCATATTTTAAGAAATAGTTCTGCGTGACTAATGGTAAACCTTATGTTAGCGCTAGTATGGATGCCCAGTCATATTGGTCTTGTCGGGAATGAAGAAGCTGAAAAATGCGCAAAAAGTGCAAGCATTGATGGCAACACATCATGTTAAACGAATATTTTATACAGATTTGAAAAAAAAAAATTCTTAAAAAGTTTCGCTGTCGACATATTAAGGAATAGTTTAAAATACATGTATAGGCTCATCTTTTGTAACAACACTAATATATACTTTTTTCAAGTGATGGACACGTAATGTGCTCCGAATTGAAGTCCGTGTTTGAGCGTTATAAAGCTCATGACTAATCTTCCTAAATCAGGAAAAAAATACTTGTTTCTGAGGCACATGTCTTTAAAAGATATTTGATACTTCAGTACATATTTCTTATTCAGAGTAATTTCAATTGGGTGGGGGTATGAAAGGGGAAGTTTTTGTATAGAAAACTTAAAAATAGCATATTACCCAGTTTTACTTCGGCAGAGTATCTTTTTTTTTTAAATTTCTTGTTTTGACTCAAAACATGGTAATATCCGGCGCGTGGTCTACATGTACTAAGCAGGATTTGTTATGTCGTCTTTCTTCACGAAATAGGCGTAAACCCATAGCAAGCTAGTTTATTTAGTCTTTTTTTCCCCGAAAAATTGTACCTAGCCCTTTAAAAATTATTTCGTTTTTGATTTTATATTTTTACGTTTACAAAATTTTTTATTGCGTCTCAAAAATTTCCCCCGGAAATTTAAGTGTCATGATCTCAAAAATTACAGAAAACTGTAGGTATTTTGTTTTCATCTCAGACTGCATGTGGTACAACCATAAATAAACACTTTCTTATAAAAGTGTTCTAGAGAATTAAATGTTCATGAAATACCGATATACCATCGTATGCATACACAAAATGAGCTATTGATTTCTTGTCTGAGCCCTTATTTCTTGTATTGTGTGCCAACCATATACTTTCAGGTTCCTCTTTGAACGCCCTATTCTCCCGAGTGAGAACTCGTGTATATCCACAACATGTACCAATGAAAATGTTTGCTAGTTTTTTGACTACTACATGTATTACTGGAATATAGGAAATCATTATAAAAATACAAACCAAAAAAAACAAAAAAAAACACACAAACAAACAAACATTATAAGATACATCATTTTTTATTATTTTAATGTGAGATATGTGATTAGTTATAATACATCTTGTTTGTAACGCCGATTTTCATTGGACAAGCGTAACGTGTATATCATATACATTGTCTTTCGAGTCTGGTAATATAATCTTACATATATATTTCTAACCGTTTATAACTGTTCAAATAACCGGCCATATAACTTGATATTATTAAGTGTTATTAAACAGGTTATATGGGCCAATAATTACTGTAAGTGTGCATATTAAACAACCGTGTATACATAGCCATATATCCTACTTTTCAAGGAATCTATAACCCATAATTCCTTCCTTTGATGACAATAACATGGTATAAGAATTATAATTGTGTGTGTATTATATGCTTGATGAGGGTCCATCTACCCTTTCAGACAATAAGTGTGAATTCCGGACATGTCACCAGTCATGTACTAAAAGTATATCATACGCCAAAAAGTGGCTTATTAATTTTGAATCAGTAATTCACTAACTTTTAACTTGATATGTACTATGTGAGACGATTTTTGTGATGTTTACTCTTTATTATTATTATTAAAACATTTCAGCTGTCTTAATATGTTTCGACCGTCCCGACTGCCCAATGGCAATTGGTGTTACAAACGCGCAGGAATGTAAGTATGAGAATACGAGACATAAATGTAGTAAGACATAAATGTAGTATAAGCAGATAATGAATTCAGGATACGAAAGTGAAATATGGAATCTGCACAATTCAGGCGATTTTTATAATCTAGCCATCATAAGTGCATATACACTGAAAAAGATCATTCAAACTTAAATTTCATTGCATACAATGCTACAGACAGAGCAGAAGATGTTGCTTTGAAAGCTATTGTAGAGGTCAGTACAATAATAAAACACATTATGTAACAGTCACATGGGAGCGTTTTTACAATTTATAAAACGTTTATATATGCCGTCTATGGTTTATAACATTATTCTTTTGATTTTGTTTTCTAAGAAAAGAAACATTTCCAAAAAAAAAACATTATTAAAGAAATTTGCTTATGTACTTCTTTAGTGAATGACAAATGAATTAAATCGTTTTAAAATCCTCAAGATAATATGTTAATGTTTTGTTCCCTGAAATTTTATTCTGTTTACATACAATATCTATATATATATACAGATGATATAGCTATTTGCGAGTATTGAAATAACATATTTTTATACTTTCTTTATTATTTTATAAACATGCAATATTTTATAAGATATTATAAGACATAGCTTTATACTACCCTTTTTATAGTACTTTTTTATTTTCTTTACTTTTTAGGTAAGATTCTTTAAAGATCCTCTATGTTGTATTTAAGGTTGTTACCACACTCAAGTGAAATTTTATATATGTATACAATTATGCTTCTAAAACAATTTTCAAACATCGAAGAATTTGCAAAATATGTACTGCAGATATTTTTGAACACATTACATGTAATCATTAAAAAATATACATTCATTTCTTATTGAAAAATTTGACTTAGACTTTTTTATTAATATGAAATGTAAATTCCTTAAAATATTTACAAATTATGCGTTTTGGAACTTACAATATTAATAAATCTTCATTTCAGCATTATATTTATAAAAACATAAAAAAATGAGTTACAGGATCTTTGATATAATTATTCTAAAATAACAGCGAGTATAAGGAGAAGGCAATAAACAAAGCTAAGATGTTCTGTCTGACCGATCCTGTACCGCTGGTTTCGATCAATTTGCCATCAAATCCACATTCTGAAAATAACCAAGAAAATAAAAGGTAACTTTACAAAAAATAATTCTTGGTTGGTTGGCTGGTTGGTTGGTCGGGTTTAACGTCGTACCAACAGTCTAAAGGTATTTTACATATCTACTGGTGGAGAGGAACTCAAGTGCCCCTTCGTGAATTATTTCAGGAACGCACGAACGGGCACATAAGTAGAACTATTGACTTTTGTAAGTAAGCTAGACAGATTTCTCACATGAAAGAATGTGCTCGAAGCCGCTGTGTGAGTGCTTTAACATCACTGGCTTTAACAAATCAGCCTCAGAAACAAATCCTTTTTTAAAATACATGTAAGAATTATCTTTTTTAATGAAATATATTTTCAGCATAAAATCAACAATTTTTATTGTTATTTGTCAAAAGCGTTATTTATTCTAAATTGATAATTTAACGTAAAGATACATTACCTGGACCTTTCCAGGAAAACTTCATTTTGTCATCCGACATATCCATGTTGAAATGATATTTCAGGTCGGAGGCAATAAGATGCCAGGGAAGTCCTTGTAGGTCAAGTTCACTATCATCAGAATCTGTGTATAACACAAAATACTAATTTAATAATGAAAACATGCCGAGGGTCATCACAGGAGCCTTTGCAGTTGTGCACCGGACCAAACACCTCAACCTTTTTGTAATCTGAAATATGTTTTTTCGGTGCGTCGATGGTTAAATGACGTATACGATTTGAACGTAATCTTATATATTGCTAAACGTACCGCGCATTCTGTACGTTTTTGAAGCTTAATTGTACTTCTTGTTAATTCATAATTTGACGCCTGATTTCTAAATATTTTACGAACGCGATTGACTTGTCTTTATAACCTCTGATCCCTATTCAAAATTCCATTTTATATAGTTCCGCCTATTGTTTTCTCGTTTAGGGCACATTCTCTTACTTGGGGACCATACGCCGCTTTTCTCTTAATTTGGGACCATACGCCACTTTTCATGGAATGGCACGAAAGTTGAAGGTTCCATGATAACCGCCGTATGAACATATCTGCGGATGTTTCTAAATTCAAAATTTCACCATTACCATGATTAAATGTTTTTTGCTAAAGTCGGTGCTAGCGGGCGTAGACGGTAACTTGCACTTTCCAGTACCGTCCATGAACAGGCTCAATCAAACCGAGCCTGCAACATTTTCAATTTTGTCTTGTTGGGCTTTCTTTAGTGATTCTTTATTTCTCTCTATTTTATCCAGACATTAAACAAACAAGTTATGAGCAGCATTTTCCTTATCGTTTCGTGTAGAAATACACGTATGACGTCCATTGAAAACTAAAATCTCGCGCGATCGTCACTTTTTGCCAAAATTAGACGATGTTCTTTTATATTTAATTAACAAAAGGGCAAAGAATCCATAAGCAGAGCACACGTTTTCCTCTTGACAAAGCATTACAGCTAGAAAAGGGCCACGGAAAAAGCGAAAAATTGACGGGACATAATTTTCGTCATTGCAAAAAGCGCTGCAAAAAGATCGACGCTAAACAATCCGCTATCTGTTCGATATGTTGGTATTTGCCTCGGATAAAATCATTCAAGTCGGACTATAACAAAAATATGAGTCTTGAGATATGTATTTTTTTCCTTTCATTATTATAATCATCATTATTTAAGGATTACGTTCCCAAATGGTCACCAATAAGAATCAGATCTTTTTTACTACTTTTATCCTTCACTAGCTAGTATAACACATGTATTTTTTAAAAAATGCTAATTTTACCATCCATTTTTTTTATATTTTATATCTTTGTATTCACAGACCCCTTCTTTTCATTTTTTTGCCAAAATTTCAATCCCCGTTGAATATTTAGATGTAGATTTTAGTTCTACATATGAAAGAAGTTTTTTGGAGAAATTATTTATGCTTGGACCTAATTTATAAGGTAACTTTAAGTAACGAGTGATTATTGCGTTAAACCCATTGAAGTCAAATTTTGTGTATGCTAATTGATACAAAAATCTCATATTATCTGAATCGATTGCTATAAATTCATAACCTTAATTCAACAAAGGTTAAAACAGCCTCAAAGTTTACCAAAGATTAAATATATTTTATTTAGATCAATCATTTTTTAAAATAGTCAGGTCAGAAGAATTCAGGTGGAAAACAATTTAACCGTCGATAGAACGGAAACCCCTCGATACCTCTAATTTGTCGGCTCGCTCCCTATGACGCTATATAAGAACTCACTGACACGCTATAAATAGCTCTCGTGACGCTGTTTTGAAAAAGGCTTTGCTAGGAGGCGTGGACGGTATTGCACTTGACAGAACCGCCCATGAATAGGCTCAATCAAACCGAGCCTGCAACATTTTCAATTTTGCCGTATTGGGCTTTCATAGGGGATTCTTATTTCTCTCTATTTTAAAAGTAATATGATGCACTTTTCGAAGATAAAATTACTGACATAATTATTTAGTTGAAAGAAACAAAAAAAACAAAAAACAAGACAGAATTGTTTTTCTTACAAATAAATGAGCCTACCAGAGTATCTAGTTTTGCTAACGAGAAGATCAAGGTATCTCGTCGTGCATTTGTTGTCACTGTCGTACTCATAACAAGAGTCGTACCAGAAATAGTGGTCTAAATCCTGACTGTAAAACTTCGCATCCATCGTTGTATTTACACCTACAATAATATATAGTAGCACAGATATATAAACAAGTCTCGCAAAATCTCGCGACATATGATAACTTGCGGGAATACAATTTCGCCGATACTGATTTTAACTGTGTGATGTCACAGTCTCTTCTCCATCTTATATTTAGCTCCATGATAATAGTATACCTATAATCGTACCTTTATTGATTTATCAGATAGTAAAACATTAAATACTACTTTAAATTCGTTTAAATAAGTTCAATATTATATATATATATATATATATATTATAGCATTATATGTAAAAAAGGTTTCTAGGAAATGTTGAATTTTAGTAACGTTCACATTGTGTACGTTTATTTCTGTTAGCACTTTCAATGTTTAAGCACATAATAATAATAATAATAATAATAATAATAATAATAATAGTAATAATAATATTTATACCTTATGTATATGAAATTCACTCAGTAAACGTTTCATTTTGTGTTGTATATAAACATGAACTTAAAAACGAATGGGATATACGTGTGAGAAAAGTTAGCATAGTTAAATTCCCATTGACATTAACGAGTATTATCTGTTAATCAAAATGATAAATTATAACAAAATTCGAGTGATAAAAAAATAGTTGTATATAAATGTTTAACGAATCTTCAAGTAAGATTTTTACCGTTCTCTTCCCCTCTACTGCAATCTGATGTCTTCCGTTTGACCAACCTTTCGTAATCTTCGCATTCCTTTAAGTCAAAATTGCTGAAAGGTAATAAGAAACGAAAATAAAAAATACGTTAACATTTCATTCCTGATCGTTGTTGTAATTGTTGTAAATTTTAAAGCTGCATGTCCCCAGCTGACCTTAGCTAAGGCAAATTATTTCAAGAAAATCAAACTTAAATAGAATGTACTGAGAATTTAAGAAAAATAAAAAATAAAATTGATAATTGCCATGTCATGTGGATTAAATTTCATATGTTGCAGTAAATTCAACGTTATTATAAAGATTTGTATGAGCGTTAGATAAACAAATGAAAATCAACGTTATAAAATTGCAGCGTTATAAAGATTTTTATGAGCGTCCCGATAAACCATTTAAATTAACGTTATAAAATTGCAGCATTATAAAGGTTTGTATGAGCGTTAGGTAAACCAAAGAAAATCAACGTTTTAAAATCGCAGCATTATAAAGATTTTTATGAGATTTTTATGACCGTCAAGATAAACCAACGAAAATCAACGTTATAAAATTGTAACATTATAAAGACGTTTATGAGATTCACGATATACCAATAAAAATCAACGTTATAAAATTTGCAGCATTATAACGATTTGTATGAGCTTCACAATTTACCATTGAAAATTAACGTTAAAAAAATTGCAGCATTATAAAGATTTGTATGCGCGTCACGGTAACAAGGAAAATTAACGTAACAAACGTATGACGAACGTATGACGAACATACAATATAGCTTTGAAACGACGTAATATACGCACAGTATCATAATCCGACATAATCAACCTACAGAGAGACCATATGGCTATTATGACTGGGTCAATAATCGAACCAATGGTCTCCCGCGTAATTTATAAAGGGTATCGAAGTCCAGACCATTCTCATTACATTGTCGTAGATTAATTTTAACTAGAGGTCTGGCGCATAACTCAGTCGATGATTACACCCAAGACTACGTATCAGAAGTAACATTTTTATCAAATAGAGAAAATAAGAATCCCTAAAGAAGGCCCAAAATGGCAAAATTGAAAATATTGCAGGCTCGGTTTGATTGAGCTTATTCATGGACGGTACTGTAAAGTGCAAACTACCGTCCACGCCCCCTAGCACTGGCTTAAGCAGAATTAAACATTGAAACATGAAATTGTAAACTTTTGAACTTAGCAACATCCGCAGATGTGTTTATGCGGTGGTTATTATGATACCTTCAAAGTGACACTTCTGTGCCATTCCATGAAAAGCAGCGTATGGTCCAAGCGTGTGCCCTAAACGAGAAAACAATGGGCGGAACTGAACAAAATGGAATTAGGAAAGGGGATCAGATGTTATGAAGCCTGCATATTACAGACAAGACGTCAATAGACACAGTTAAAAAGCAGGCAACTATCCTTAGGGTAATTCTACAGTATTCAAGTACGAATATTGGTACCATACAATTAGAAAATGCCTAATAGTTAAAACCAAAAATACCACAAACACAACAATAATGTCGTGCTAAATGATCTTTAAGGATCGTGTTTAAGGATCAAGTTTGTTGTCAGAGACTTACTAGCACATTAACTCTCTCTTGACGTTCTGGTCGGAATTTGGAGCATGCCATCTGAAGTTACATTTACCATACGTCTGTGTGGACGAAAACTGCGTGTAGTAAATCATTATCCAGTGTTTTGACTGCACTTTCTGTAACAAAGATTATTGGTTAGTTATTTGTGTTTAATTTACATAAATATCATGTAATTAAACTAATACATGTATTAGCTTCTACAGGCGCGGGACCTTGGTCGAAGTCAAAACTGGAAGTCCAAGAATGTTTGAAAATTGGAAATCAAATTACGTTGTTTTTTTAAATTACTCAAAACTAGTGAAATCACGCACTAATAGATTGGACAATTGACCCTCTTTAGAAAAGTTATAATATGCCAAATCACGTCTGGAATATGCATTACCCCTTAATGAAGTTGAGCATCCAGTTCTGTTGAAAGACCTAGATCCTTGCCTGTTTCTTTTTATATATTTGAAATATTTTTATCATAGAGGGAGTGCACAACAATGATAAATTACATTTTCTTTAGATATAATATTCTTGATATAAGGACAGAAAGCATGTAATGATGTTCTTTTTGGACATAATGAATTCTACATTGATTGTGCAGAAGTCTATACGCTTACAGGCACACTTGCGAATCTGCTTATGGAACCATGCAGCCAGAACTGAGCAATGGGTTTAAAGATTATTGCTCAAGGATAGTAAGGTTTGCCCCTTCCGGGGTTTGAACCCAAGCACATAGAGATACATATATTACAAGCCCCACGCGTTAACTACTCGACTATGCCGCCACATGTTCTTTGTTGCAATATAAAAACTGCCTGTCTGCCCTACATACCTGCCTGCCCTACATACCTTCCGACCTACCGACCGCCCGCCCGCCCGCAAACCCCGCCAGCCCGCCCGCCATACCTACCTACCTACAAACCTGCCTATACCTTTCTACTTACTTACCTTTCTATATTTTAAGTACTTTCTACTCATGCTAAAACATTTGAGATTTCTTTTAAAGAAATGTAAAATTAGATCTATGAAATCTTGTTATTTTATTTTCGTTCATATTAAACGTATTACAAAGTTTTTGAAAGAAAGATAGTATGTGTTACCTGAGTCAGACTTTGTAGAGTTACAACACCGCGGTCTTGGTTTGGGAAAATTGAACAAGATGGCGTCTCGTTGCATGTTTCACTTACTGCTGACGTCACAAATGTCACACACAAAACCAGCACGCTACCAAGTTTTACCATTCTGTGTTTAGATAAAAAAGACTTATCTTGAAACAGTTTACTTATATTTTGATTTTTTTATATAAAAAAGGCAAGAAAGATAAAAAATAAATTCTATGTTTGAAGTCTTGTCCGAAAGATCTGAAAATGTATGCACATGTTTAACTTATCAGAAGTAGTCTTGCATTTGTAGAGACCAAACAGATGCAAAAAAAGGAAAAGAAATGGTGTCACACTGCCGTCACATATTTATTTAGATATTATTGGATATCAACTATCACCCCTAACGAATGCATTGTACAAAATTTAGAAACGGGGCAAAACAAATTAAAATCATAAAAAAAGAAGAAAAGAGAGTAAAAAAGAGTAAAACCCAGTTTCGTTTTTATTACGAAATTTATTTTTCTTAAAAGTATAATGAAAGACACGATACGGATTATATTTCTCTATAGAAGCTATTTACAAAATTCTTAATGTATAAATTATAACCTTCATTTTGAAAATTTTTAAATGATATAGTTTCATTTAATATTAAAATGATAGATAGGTTATTTGTATCCTACATAAGTTTAAAAGTTCATATATTTCTACCAAACATAGTATAAAATATACGGTCGTTACACATTTTGATTTAAACATCAGTTGTTTTTTTCATTTTGATATACCGATGAACAGACGATAATATCTCCAGTGTAGAAAATTAAATTATAAAATCTTAACCTTGATACAATGTTCCCGACATTGGGTCGTTACAAAATTTAATTAAAAACCCCGCTTTTTTCATGTTGATATACCGATGGAAAGGCGAATATAAATCTCCAAAAGATATCTTATAAACTCACTGACAAACAGTCTCGCGGAACTATTAATTAGGACGCAAGTGCCTGAATGATTTTACTAAAAAGGAAGACATATATTTATTTTGAAGGGTTAGTGGAAATGTTTAATTTCTTGTTTTCTCCAACAACATTAATTGTATCCTGCTTAACCATGGAAAATTGTATACAGTCTACGCGGGCTTTTTAAGCTCCTCCTTCTTTAGCAGCCACATTTTTTAGGCTCCTCCTACTTATGTAACAACATTTTAGTGCGCGTTATGAAAAAAAATCTCGGTTCCGTAGAGAAAATGTTCATATCGCCGGCATAAAACTAAACCACTCGAAACATAGAAAAAATACAACCCATTTTTTTTAAAATTATTTCAAAACACAAAGTCATATGAAAATTGAAGGTATGCACAAGCAGTCATAAAACTTGTAGCATCAAGTTTTACATGTATATAAACAATTACTAGAAAATCTTATTAAATATAAAGCTTAAAGAATGTTGTTATTTAAGTAGGAGGAGCTTAGAAAATGTGATTGCTAAAGTAGGAGGAGCTCAAAAAAGCCCGCGTAAACTGTATAAAAAGTTTCATGGTTAAGCAGGATACTTATAAGTATTGTCCAAATAACATGAATAACTTTCTGCTTTGACGGCCTGGAAACTCCATTATCAAAACATGTCTGTCAACATTTCACTCGCATGATAATATACCAAACCGGTTGGGAATTTTTAGAACAAAACGCAGAATGACCAAATAAGATATTACGAGAAAATATTCCATGCATTTACATTTACATACTGAAGCCCTTAAAACTTATTATATTCATCGGACTGCAAGTTCGAAATTTAAATACGACATTTTTAGGAAATCAAACGGTAAGTCTTACAAAATTCAATCATTTCTGTTTAATACAATAAAGCGAAATGTTTGATATTCGGCCCTTAGATAGTTCGTGAATAGATAGTAACTTCGTTTCGGCAAAATGGCAATATATTGCAAAGCGGTTTTTGCCGTATTAATACACCTCTGATAGTTACCTATTCATGTACATATGTTGTCATTTCATGCAATATTTGTTTTATGGCCGAAGACCGTCTGATTTTACATTTACTTCCGCTAAAATTAACAATAAAGAAATGAATATAGGCAGAATTTTCATTGTTCATTTTAAGACAAATAGCCTGTTCGATTGATACTTGAGAAGATCTTCCGTTAAAGGTAGAGGTCTGTTCGATTGCGCGATGGCAAGAAGTGTCGGAAAAAGATATAAATCAGAATAAATATGAAAATACAATAATGATATTTTCCAGATGTTTCTAACAGCTTTTCAATAAATATATGAAATTGAATATGACAGATCGCCTGCTTTTAACTCGATTGGGTTTCTCTTCTAAGCTGTTCTAGTCATTATATTCTCTTCTCGAACCTGGCATAAGACAATTGAAACGAACTTTCGACTAGTTTGCAGTTGCAAAATTCTCCGTAGAATAAGTATACAGTATCTACTATATTATAAATTCCTATTCAAATCAAATTCCATTTTTGATTAAAATCAAATAATGTAAGTAATATTGTTTAAATCTAAGATGACAATAAATGGGGAAAAACATTGCGGGTAAAACTGAACTGAAATAAAACTATTGATTACGAATAAGTATGCGGTTAGCATGGTTAGTAGCAGCTTATCCTAAGCAAGTTAACAAGTTTGACTTCGGCCGAGTATCTTTTTAAAGATACTTCTTGTTTTATCTATTTATTTATTTACTGACTGACTGACCGACTGACTGACTTGCTTGCTTACTGACTTGCTGACGGACTTGCTTGCTTGCTTGCGTACTTGCTTACTTAATAACTTACCCACTCACTCACTCACTCACTCACTCACTTTACTTTACTATTGTGAAATTATAGTAATTGAAAAAAAATCATCATCATCATCATCATCTAGCAAGCATATTTAAATGGCTAAATTTAACTTACCTGGCCGGTATGGATAATAGTACTTAAAACATAAAATAAAATTATCATCATCATCATCATCATCATTATCATCATTATTATTATTATTATTATTATTATCATCATCATCATCATCATCATCATCATCATCATCATCATCATCATCATCATTATCATTATTATTATTATCATCATCATCATCATCATCATTATATTATTATGATTATTATTATCATCATCATCATCATCATCATCATCATCATCATCATCATTATTATTATTATTATTATTATCATCATCATCATCATCATCATCATATCTAGCAAGCATATTTAAATTGCTAAATTTAACTTACCTGGCGGGTATGGATGCTGTTTAAGTCATGTATTCCTGATTTTTTTGGTTTATAAAACACAATTTTTACCTGGCGGGTATGTGTGAAATTAACTGCGCTACTGACTGTAAATGAATTTATAGACCGAAACGAAACCAAATATAATTTAGAAACTGTATATCAAAACCATTATTGTTATCTAGAATCAAATCTAAATGATTTATAACAAGCTGAAACGATGCTTCAAGTTTCATTTCAACAGCCCATCTTTATATTGTAACTTTTTAAAAGTAATTCATTTTATATTTTGTATCATATTTTGGAGACATTTCTATTGAAAATGTGCACAGAGTGTGTGAAAATGAGTATGCCTTGTTATTGGGCTGCAGACTATCATATTAGCAGTCAAAGGCAATTTTATTAATCAACTACACATAATCTAAAAAAAAAAGTTAAGTAGACTTAGTGAATAAAAAATAACTAATATGAAATTCCGTTGGTGTGAGGTATTGCAATGAGATCCATGTTTTAAAAAATGTCACGGAAACCTAACTTGCAGCAATTTAAACTTCCGATTTTTTTAAATAAAAAGAAAAAAAGGCGGTACTTTTTGCATGATGACCTTGTTTTATGTTCATAATGTCGTGGTGAACTTCATTTTAGCGTTATATTTTAAATGAAGACGTGCCTTATATTGAAAAGTTATTTAATAATGAAGTCTATAGTTACAGAAGTCATGTTATGACATGTTACGATATCAATGTTATACATTAAATAACTTTATAGAAAACAAATTAAACTGTAAATATTATTGTATTTTCAAAAAAAACAAATCTAAAATTCAGAGATATGTTAGTGGGTCATCTTATAATTATCGGAATATAAAATATATCATCAAATGCAGAAAGATAATTGAAACTGGAAACTGGCATAGGATACCTTTAGAGCAGAAAAAAGTATTGCAATCCAAACATCAATTATAGAACTCCCAATATAATAAAGTTTGAAAAAAAAAACTAAAAATGAACACTATTCTTCTTATTATTTGGTTAATAGAAAATATTGCAAGTTTTTATTTAAAGTTATCTTAGAAAGGTATTGACTGAAACATTGTGTTAAATTTTTATAATATAATTGAAAATTTTGATTATATCATTATTTCTGATATAATTCATTTTGCATGAAAGTTATTATGCATCATTATGTAGAAAGAAAATTGTAAGATGACATATGCGAGTTATATACTATATACACACTGAATATTATATTATACATGTATTCTGTATAGAGTGAATTACTGAATGGTACAACATCAAGTCAGCACAGAAAATCTGGCATTATACAAATATAGCAGGTCATTTCAGTCGAGACAAGTTATGTCAATGGAGGTAGCGTCCAGTTTAAAGCCGCAGTTTCTAAAATGTCGCGGGCAAGGATTTGGGGAAGTTTTAAATCCGCGAGGTTTTATGTCGAAATTGTATAAAATGTCGCGACTTATAGAAACCCTCTAGCTTTTCTGTCACACTTCTGTCGTAAAAAAGTCGAGTTTTACGAAGTAAACGGCGAAATTTTCTGTCTACATAACAGACAAAACTACTCAAGCATATGCCTTCTGTAGGTAGCAGATTGCAGACACAATAATACGCAAAATTTTGATTGATGCTTACCTTGTAAAAAAACAACGGTTTTGAGCATTAATCTAATCCTCGATTTTGTATACCTGGAGATGTCTGCACAAAACGTCGCGGCTGAAAATTGGTATTACTCGCCGGGATATCTTACGAGACCGTTGTTGAGGAACAAAAAGCTGCGGCCTATAATTTCTCCTCCACTTTTTTGTAAAATTTGAAAACACTTTCAAAAAATGTTGCGTTTCTTTCCTGTTCTTCGACTTTTATAGACACATTGACAAACGGTCAAAAAAATGTAAAACCGAAGACGCTACCGGCCTTTGGAATCAAAATGTTCCTTGCTGTTTCCAGCAACCGTTTTATAACATTGAGATTTTTTCGTTCCCTGCGTTATTTTGTACGATTTCGGCAGAAGAAAAAAAATCATGCGGGTTTGTAAGTTGTCCGCAACATTTTATGATAAACGATAACATTTCTTGATTGTTTGAAATAGTCGCAACATGCCACAATCCTTTACCAAGCGCACTCATTTCAGCTCCATGCAGCACTGAGGCATTACAAATGTGGTTTATTAATTGAGTTTCTGAATATTCTCATTTTCTTTGCATTTTGCATGCTTTTCTGAATTCATTTAGTTTAAAAAAAAATAAAATGTATTTAGGGGTAAACACAATAACATGTATGTGTTTGATGCTTGAAACAGTAAAAGTAAATCGGTTAAGAAATACTTAAAAAACCTATCCAACTTCTACTTTTCTATTTTTTAATATTGCATTGGCTCCAATATATTATACCAAATTTTCTCCACAAAAGTGCATTTTATTTAAAAAGATATGTAATGTAAACTTCATTCATTTATCGATTCTTATTAGAATATTGTTTTCAAAACTCCAAAAACTAGTAAATATGTATCTGATACACGCACTTGATTGGAATACAAATGATATATTATATTGAATATAAGATAAAGTTTGATGTAAAAAATAAATTAAATTGAATTTATGCAAATAAACATTTTGCACGATTTATTACAAAGTTGAAATGATATAAAAAGCTATTAAATAGCGAACTATATCTTTTATAAACGTTCGCAGTCGTAAGCATTTCTTCAACTGAAAATCTACATTAAAATCATTTTGCATTGTCTAACGTTACATTTGGATATGAATATGAAGAAGATTGTTCTCATTTCTTATGACAACAACTATTTTATGCTTTGGTAAGTTCAGTTTGTGTTGTTAAGGTGGAGATACTGATCACAATTAAATTATATACATTAGTAAAACAAACTTATGATAAAAGCTAAATATAGTCATTTTTCTTGAGGTATATGATACAAAAATTTTCGAACGTTGTACTGGGGTTTTACCACCTCCAACACCCATTTCCGCGGAAACTTGCCCCTGTGCCTGGCAACATTTCTGGGGAAAGGCCTGTCCATGTTTGTCGATGTAGCGCGACAGATTAGATTTAGATTTATTTCGGCATAGGAAGCATATATATAGTTGACAACATAACATAGGATAAAATAATGAGCATTAATAAAAATACTATATCACATACGAGAAAACTATGACATACTCACCAACACCAAGGATAACACAAAAAAAGGGCAAAAAAGGTCTTATTTCCATTGTGGTCTTTTGTATTGGGGGCATGGCATAGAGAGGCAGACCTAAATATAATCATGTTCAAAAATACTAATAAATCATAAAAATGTATATCACAGTCAAATCTTGAGTTAATGACTCTCCTGTTTACAGCTAGGATTTAAAACACATTTAATTTACTAAAATTGTAAAAAGATAATTAGCAGACAATTTCAAATCCTGAGCCAAAATATGTAAAAGCTAAAGAAATTTTAACCGAGAGTTGGCTTTCTTAAGAACAGACTCAGCCATGTAGCAAAATGACAGATGTAAAAACATTGTAAAAAAATTAAAAACTGTTCATGAGATGACTTTTGATGGCAACCTTAAAACTTTGTAACCTGTTGATCTCCGTCAACTCTACAGGTAAATCATGGAAACCTACATTGCAGCAATTAAAAATTGGCGATATTTTTTCAATGAAAAAAGAAAAAGAAAAAAAGGAGGAACTTTTTGCATAATGACCTTGTTTTATGTTCATAATGTTGTGGTGAACATCATATTAGCCTTACATTTGAAGTGAAAACGTGCCTTATGTTGAACATTTAATTAATAATGTAGTCTATAGTTTTATAAGCCATGTTATGACATGTTACGATATTAATGTTATACATTAAATAACTTTATAGAAAACACATTAAACTGTAAATATTATTGTATTTTCAAGAAACAAAGTTGAAATTCGGAGATAATTTTATTTTATGTTAGTGGGTCATCTTATAATTACTGGTATTTACATAATATCATCACATGCAGAACGAGAATCGAAACAGGAAACTGGCATAGGATACCTTTAAAGCAGAAAATTTGCGCGCGTATTGCAATCAAAACATTAATTATAGAAATCCCAATATAATAAAGTTTGAAAAATTAATGAAACTGTTCCTTCTTATTATTTGGTTTATAGAAAATATTGCAATTTTTTTTAGAGCAGAACATATTGCTTGAATAAAGTTTTTTTTTAAAGTTATCATGGAAAATATTGACTGAAACATTGTAAAAATTTTGATTATATACAGTGAGTTAGCCAATAGCGGATCATAGCCAATAACGGATCAGTCAGTTATTTAACGAAATATTCTTCTAACAGTTTTGAGCTTAAAAATATTTTTACCTAACAGGCATGTGCATTATGATCTTATCTACTTGACAGCGGAAAAATGTAAACATCCGTGTAATTCATATCAGATTCACTTAGATGCTTAACCAAGCGTTTCCGTTTCTCGTGAAATTTAGCGCCGTTGACAACGCATATTTGAAATTGTTGCCTTATTTATCATAAAAACTCGAAAGATATTGGATCAAAGCTGATAGATATTTGATGCCCAATATGTTAACTACCTGCAACACCAACCGTTCAATAAATACTTGAGGAACTATTTTGATAGTGCTATTCAAATGAAGTGCACCGAGTTGTCCAAAAGCGGATCATGCAATTTTATAGGAAGGGACCGCCTCAAAGTTATTCAACCTGTTATAGAAAATATTTTTTAAAGAAAATTTTGGTTTGTAGACCAAATAAATAAAAAATATAAAGTTGAAATGATTTATGTTAATATTACAACTGAATTATGCAGTTCATGCCAAAAGAAGTATTGTATGCAGTATAAACAGCTGCAACAGTGAAATACTGTTCCAGGCTACATGTACGTAGGTATCCAGTTTTTTTCCAGACTATATATAACATCATAAATCAGTGTTATTAAATAAATCAGATACAAAGAACATTTTTTTATTCATATTCAGCTATTTATATGACATATATATTGAGACTTGTCCTCACCC